CATTCAAATGACCGTTTGAGGCTGCTGCATTCATTTCTCGCGTTGTACACCCTTCACTACGACTATTTTGTAGCAATTCCAAAATATCAACGTGCACGCCCGCGGCAGCCCAGTCCATCGCATTTGTTGTACCCCCCCCCCCCCAGCCCTTTTATCAATAGCCACTGGACAACCTCCAGCTGTCCCATTGCGCATACATGGTCAAACGTATTGATCGGGCAATACACCACCCGGTTTTCGTAAAGAAGCGCAAAACATCCAAATGGCTGTGAGTGGCCGCTAAAAAGAACGCTTGCTCCGTACACCCCTCCATGCAATTATAATGCAGCCATCGCACAGTCGACAAGTGGCCGTTACCAGACACTGCATCGATCGCTACAGGTGTCGCACCCTCAGTTTGATTAAAATGGAGCCAACAAACCACAGCCAGGTGCCCATTACGGGCCGCTCCATCTATTGCATAGTGTGAGGCAGTAGACAAACAGGCCTGGGCCCATTGAAGATATGGAAGGTCGCCCCTTGTAGCGGCTATATCAATGTTAATCTGGAGCGGTATCGGGCTGTGCTGTATAGCCCATTTAGTGAATTCCAATGGTGCAGACCCAACGACACGCTCCATTTCGCAGCGGCTTTCTTCCGTGTGGCTTGCAATTATCCACAGTCGCTGTGCTGTCAAGAAGTACCCTCTGACAGCGGCTAAATAAAGCATGTCAAAACGAGCGCTCTGATCCGGTGTGGGAAAGCGCGCAATAACCCATTCAAAAGTAGATACGTCTCCATTTTTCACTGTCAGCATGACGATGTTACGATCCCAACATACCCTCGGACGATCGTAAAGCCACTGTAAGACGTGGACGGCCGTTTCTAGCGGCTGCTCCAGCAGCCCGAACAATATCGACCCCCGGAAATAACTCGTCTAAACTCTTCATAACCGACAATTTCCCGTTTGTAGCTGCCATGGTAAAAAGAAAACGTTCACACATCTCATCTATGTAGCACTGGGAACGAGCCTTGTGCGCTAAGCGGTGCATCAAAAACGGCTTCATCTCCAGAACAGCAGCTTCGAAAGTTCACAATACCGACCAATCGAGAAACAAGCTAAAAATATGGCATATGTGCTCCAGGCTTAGTAGCTCGGGCCGAGATCGCCATACAGCGTAGGGAGAAAGCAATATGTAACTCATTACGTCCGTTGCTTAAACTAATGTTTGGGCTATCCAAATGAAAAATGAAGACATTCATCGCCCCAGAGAAAATTGGCGATCTTTTCACGAAAAACTCAAAAAAGGATTGAAATTTTGCTGGAACGGCTTCAAATTATCGACAAGATTTCACGCGGTTTTCCCTGAAATCGCTAAGTTCTCGTCGGCATCGACGAATACACTAATGTTTTCGACAATGTAACTATTGATGCATGCTGCTCGAATGAGCCCGGTAGCACAAAATATTAATATATACATCATCACGACACTCTCTTTTTAAGTCGATTTGACTATTCAAATGAAAGATTTTATAAAAGTGATCGAAAACAAAATCTTGAATTATCGGAATATTAGTGTGTCGCTTGAACGAACCCTAACCTTACTATCTCAGACAATATAAATATCTACAGTAGTATCCACTCTGGTTGTCGCTTGAACGAGCCATAAACCTGGATGGGTCAACACGCAAAGATTTTATAAATAGCTAAAGGATATATGGTTGTAGAGTGATTTTGATAACATATTTAAAAAAAACTCAAATTCGATTCAACAGGGTATTAACTATGAGCGTATTGGTACGTCGTTCGGATCCCGCATAGGACTGTGGATATAAAATCCAGAGAATTTGCAATGTGGGTTGCAAAAAAAGCTTCTTTAACTACTGTACTGCGTTTGCTAGTTTGAAGCAACGCGAAATTAGTTTTTGTGTTGACCAACTTTGCTTACTAGCCATACTATTGTACCAATTTTTGCAACATCTGAATTGTACTTCATGCACAAATAAACAACATTAATCATCTGCTACACCTGTATATTCGCATTGTTGCAGCAATATTTGCAATACCCAACGGTTCGTTGACACCCTTCAACAAGACACTATATGTTATTGGAACATCTTCACCAATTGGAAGATTTTGGGCGAATGTGGTGTAGCCAAACAAATTTCTATAATCCACTTTTTGGAATTTCCACCGGTGGCAACAAATTTTATCGAAGTCGACAACAAAATAACTTGAGCAAATTGCCTGGTCCGGTCATGGGGCACAGAAAAAAAGTTCACACCTCCCCAGACATTCAGTATGATCGACAAAAATAATTATCTTTTTTTCAACAATTGGATATGCTGCTTTCTCCGTCTGTTGTTGTAGTACCGGATGCGACGAATAAAACGCAACGATGAAAAACATGCAACACCACAACCACATCTTGAACACGACAAAAATACGTAAGGGTGTCACCTCCTCGTTCACGAAAGGGGTAATTATAATAATTTTGAAAACTGCTTTTTTTAAAAATGTACACATCTGCCGCATTTGTGATATTGCTATAATCATTTGACAGGCGACTGTGATAAGGAAACATCATAGTTGCTTGAAATCTAGCGCCAATCTAACTAAATAGACTTGTCTTTACTATTGTGCGAACTTAACTCGGCAGATGTACGGCGTTTGTGATAGCAAGATTATCACACTGCATTGCGACCTTTCATCCACACCACAGAACAATGGATCGTGGTAAAAAGAGAAATGCCAAAAACTAGGCCGCCGTCGCACAGTCCCTTCAGGCAAAGAGGACGAAAACAAGTACGAAGCGGGCGTATCTGTCGAAAGTAAGCACGATGACAACGTGG